AAATTATTAAATAATGTAAGAAAAATTCCACAAAAGGACAACTTCTGTGAGTGGAAATGATCCATCATAAATTTTAAAAGATCTATACTATCTTGAAATCACAACAATACAGTCAAAGACTGGACTGCTACTTTTAGCAGTATAGAGGAACAGATGCTCTGAAGGCTTTTGATCTATTAGCTAGGTTCACCAATTTGAGACGACTTCCTAAAGAAGGCTGAGGTGGTTTCAGGTCAGTAGTATCTTGGCAGAAGCAAGTGTAAATCTTCTCTGAAGAAAATATTCATAATTGAGAACAGAAGTTGAGAAAGGAAATATTTTTGTCTTTGTAGGCCATGCAACGTCTGTTTAAACTACTCAGAAAGTGCTGAAGTAGCGATAGACAACATAAATGAGTGGGCATACCTGTGGTCCAATAAAACATATACAAAAACAGGCAGTGAACTGGATTTGGCCCTTGGAGTATAGTTTACCAACCCCTAATTTAAAAATCTTGATATGGCCGAGCGTGGTGGCTCATGCCTGTAATCCCAGCACTTTGGGTGGCCGAGGCGGGTGGATCACCTGAGGCTGGGAGTTCGAGACCAGTCTGACCAACATAGAGAAACCCATCTCCACTAAAAATACAAAATTAGCCAGGTGTGGTGGTACATCCCTGTAATCCCAGCTACTCAGGAGGCTGAGGCAGGAGAACTGCTTGAACCTGGGAGGTGGAGGTTGCAGTGAGCCGAGATCATGCCATTGCACTCCAGCCTGGGCAATAAGAGGAAAACCCGTCTCCAAAATAAATAAATAAAATGAAATAAAATCTTGATATTCTCACAGGTTAAGCTCAACCAAATATGAGGACACAAAATTATCAAACTCACAAGGAAATAAGCCAGAAATTTGAATGAGTCAGAAATAAGCAATACCTAAACACCCTCAAAGACAATATTAGATATTAAAATTGTCACATGCAGAATGTAACTATACGATATGCTTTAAGGAGAAAAAAAATGGAATCTAAAAGTAAACAAGAAGCAGAAGCAGCAAAAATAACCAAGTAGATATGAAAAGCCAAAAAACATTTAGAAAAAACTTAAATTGAAAAATGCATGTTGAAAGATGCCTTGAATGCACACATATATTTAACCCTAAGTTCCTTCTGAAACTGCATTAAAACAGCTAAAGGTTTGTGGGTTTTTATTTTTTTTAGACATCAAGTCTCACTGTGTTGCCCAGGGTGGGACTCCTGGGCTCAAGCAATCCTCCCACCTCAGCCTCCTGATGAGCTGGGACTACAAATGTGAACTGCCATATCTGGTTTGATTTATGGTTTTTGTTTTTTAATGCATCTTACAAAGACAAAAAATGGATGGGACAGAAATAAATGATAACCACAAATTGTTGAAAGCTAAAAATAGATGAGGAGTGTTCATCCTAGAAAACCTCAGAAGGATTTTTTATTCTGCAGTGTGGAAAGCTGTGAAGCAATCTGATTTGTACAACAGATCCTCCCAAATGCTCTTGTACTATGCCATCTCTAGAAGGAAAGATAAAGGATTTGTTGAAAGTCTATTTAGGAAGCAAATACTCACCAGAAT